GACCACCAAGATCCAAGATCTTGAGCGCTATATTAAAGACGATGTCATTCGTTACGGCTCTCGTTTGGGCGATTTAGAGAAGAAATTAGTGGGCGCTTACCGTGAAGTAGTGAGTATATCGGATGCCTTGACGTTGTTTCAAGTGACATCTGACTCTTGGAAATTCACAGACCGCTGTCGAAGTGCTCGACGACGACGATCTATTCGGTAATGAGGACGAGGAGGAAGATGGTGCTTTCGTCATGTACGCCCTTGCATTCCCGTTACTCTTTCAAGTTGTCTCACCGTTCGATTTGCAGGGGGGAATTCGCAGATGCCTTTGGCGAAGATTTCCTTGGTCTTCGGGAGCTCGGAATTGCTGCCGAGCTTGGCATGTCGGATTTAAGCATTCCAAAACGACTGTTGAAGGGGAAAAGGAAAGGCGCAAACGAGGTTGCCACTGCTGCGTACGTATACTATTGCTATGTAGTCACCCGTGCACGCTTAAACGTGTACATCTATAGGGCAATACCAACCGAACCACCTCCACCATACCCACCGCCACCGCCGTTCATTCCCCTCACGTCGGACAAGATTGGCAAGCAGATCGGCCTTCTTCAACCGTATTACCATGCCCGCCTCCCACCCCAACCCACGTCCGTTTCAGTCGCTGTTCCCCTCTCTGTCCCGCCGAGTATGGCACCTCCGCTCCCTCCGCCTATTTCAGTTCCACAGGACGCACCCATCACTCTTCCGGATGATGTGCCCACACCGGTTCACGCTAAACTCGGGCCGCTCGGACAGGTTCTCAAAGGTGCGGCTGCTGGTGCCAGCAAAAAGAAAGTGAAAAAGGAGGGTGGCGTGTTCGGCATGCCCGACACCATAGATTCCGGCTCTGCTGTTGGCGACACGCCCAAGAAGAAGAAGGCATCGGGTGTGGGCACGGGAAATGGAGGGAAGAAGAAGGCCAAAGCAGTTGCAGACGGTGCCATAGACTCCCCAAGTCTTCCTCCGGGACCTATGATCGCTGCGAACATTTAATCTATGCTATTCATTGTCGATTTCTTGTATTGCTTTACTAAGGATCATCCGTCTGTAGGATTATTGATTTATTTCATTGTGGAATATATAATCCTGTCCGTTGTCAATCCGCTTGAAGATGATACCGTACCGTCAGTACTGCGGACTCCGGAGGACACGTGGAAGTGTACAGCATCCCGATTGCACTTTCGATTGCACCGCACTTTCTTCTTTGTTATTTATTGCAGTAGGCGCCAAATCTTCTGCTTTTAACATACCAATATCTCTTTCTGATTCACCAGTAGCAATGTCTTACGGTGTAAGTACTACTATGTCAGGTCTGCTACCGTATGCACTGACCGCAATGTTCGCCACAGTACGCACCCCCTCGAGGCGCGCCTCCGGGCGGCGGATATGGAGGACCGCCCGCATACGGTGCACCTGGCGGAGCGGGTGGATTCGCACCCCCGCCCCCTGTAGGGCCACCTCCTGGATCCGATCCCCAGTAAGTCACTACCATTGTCGGAGTGTGATGATCATGCATTCACGCGATCTTCTCAGATTGTGGCAGTGGTTTTCGTCTGTTGACTTGGATCGCTCGGGCGCGATCACAGCTTCTGAGCTCGGTGCGTATGCGATCTCAAGTGTAACCAATGTAGCAGATGTGGGCATGCTAATACCGGGACCGTCACATGCAGAGAGAGCGTTGATCAACGGCGATTGGACGCGTGCGCATTGTTTCTGTCAACTTGATTGTAAACAGTGTCACTAATATCTACTCACGGCAGCCTTCGACCTGGACACCGTAAAGGTAAGCACCCCGTCATTATTCAGCATATTTGACCTCCTCACACCTGGCGTTGCCCTTGTAGATGCTCATGTCCATCTTTGACACCGATCGGAGTGGAACCATTGGATTCAACGAAGTCCGCAGTTATCTCCCATGATTCGCGCTCTGACACTCACAATCGTTTAGTTCGCGGGCCTTTGGAAATATGTCAAGGTTCGCTATCATTGTCTTCCAAAGTCGGAATATACCATTTTAACGGTACGGACAAACCAGGACTGGCAGAATGTCTTCCGTCACTTCGATCGTGACCAGTCTGGCTCGATCGACCAGCAGGAGCTCGCCCAAGCCCTGCAACAATTTGGGTGCGTATGCCGGATATATCATGTTACTCCCTCCTTATATATTTTACCTACCCCACAGATACAACCTTTCGCCGCAGCTTCTGCACCTTGTCGAAAAGAAATACGGTGAAGCTCCTCCTCCTACCCCCTTCTCTTTGACTTACTGACTTGCCTACCCTGATGGGGTAGATATTAAAGCCTCAGCCCCCGCAGTCCGCGGCGGTCCTCCCCCCGGAATCTCGTTCGACCGCTTCGTGCGCGCGTGTGTCGCGATCAAGCAACTGAGCGAGTCTTTCAGGCGTCTTGACACCGACCAGGACGGTTGGGTCCAGATCAATTATGACCAGTTTATGAGCACGGTGCTTAGCTTGCCCTGAGCGGCTAGACGCGTAGGCGAGTCAGTTTGGACAATGTGACAGAAGGCATGAAAGAAAGAAAGAAGGTGTATCTGCCCTGTATATGATATGTGATCAATGTACCACTTACTATAGCTCTTACTGCCGTGGATATACTATTCGACCGTTTCGCTTCGTTCCATCGAGAAATGGGCATGTGCTATTAACAAATGTATTCAAAGCATTGACATGGGAGTAGGTATAGTTGCAGGTAAGATATATGAACAAAGCAAATCAAGGAATCCACGGGTAGAAGAGTACAAGCTTGCATCAAGCAAACGCTAAGAACTGCCGAACGATCGTCAGCCCGTCCCCTTGCCATCCCGACTAGAACAGCTCAGTCGTCCTCCTGAGGCGAGTGAGACCCAGCAGGCCACACCTCAAATCTCGACCCCTCCTTGACACCGTGCCACGCAAGGGTGCTGTCTGCACTGCAGAACACGGGAACAGTGTTCGCGTTCAGGACGAGGACGGTGCTATAGGAAGAGAAGACATATATAGATTAACGCAACATCGAATGGATACCGAAGGTTATTAACGCACAAACTAGGTACGAGGTTGAAGCGTTTACACGCGGCGCTGAGGATCTTGCCTGCACGGTGCCGCCCCCGGGCCCGAAACACCTGCGACTCGCCAGTCGGAGGAAAGGTGACTGTTATCTCAAAAAGCTCGTCCCGCTCGCCGTCGGCGCCTGCTTGTTTGGTGCGGGATTGTCTGATGGACCCGGCGCGAGATTGGGACATGAAGCTTTCCGCTAGACGATGGATAAGCACGCGTACGAAGATATAGAAGTAAAAGCAAAGGGTGCATACCATATGAGGTGCGGTCTGCTGGATCGGCTTTCACCGAGAGCGATTTTACTGACGGAGACGAGCTTTCCGCCTTGACTGTGGCCGTGGGAGTCTGTTCCGCGGTTTCCGACCCCACAATCGACAGACGGGTATTGAGGGCGATTGAAGCGCCCGCTGTTCCGAGAGAGCGCGCCTCTTCAAAAGCGCGCTCGTCAGAATCAGAAGTGCGTGCAGAGTTGCCTGCATTGTCGATGGGGCTACTGCTTGGTGGCGGAGCATCAGCTTCATCATCGGCACGCGTCTTTCCCTCCGCGTCCTCAGACGTTTGGCGCTCTGTGTCGGAGTCTCCGGCTTGCGCATCTCCTCCTCCTTCTTTGTCGTCTTCACCATCGTCAGGATATAGTTGCTGCGGCTTACGCGGCGTGCGAGTATCCTTGAGCACTCTATTGGCTGCAGAGATGTTTTTGTTCATTCTGTTAAGTGCGACCATGCTATTGTCTGCTTCGTGGTTGTACGTGTCGTTGGCCTGGTTGCCATTAACGCTGGTGTCGAGGTACATGGAGGGGTGGCGTTGACTATCGGCATCATTGATATACGCGTCAGCGATACTGGCATCGGCCAAGAACGTATCTCTGCGGTGACTGTCATCATTGTTAAGGTTGTGGACATCGCCGACGGCATGTTCTGTTTCCTTGTGATGGTCGATGGGTGTGTCGGTAGTGTGTGCCTGGCGCGCGCTAGACATAAGCTTGTCTCCATGCGCATCACCGCCGTTGTGAGAGCTGCGAGCTGGCGTCGCAATTTCACCTGGCCTTGGCACCTCTTCCCCGTCGTTCAGCGACACTGAATCGCCTGTGTTCAGCAAGCGTATCCTTAACAAGCAGTGATGTTGCGTACCTTCCATGCTCACGGTAATGACCGCCAGCGCGACGGATACATGCTCGTAGGTATCTTCGTCCACCACGACATTGTGTCCCATGCAAATGTCCAGCGAATCCGTCTCGAAACGCAGCCTCGCCTCGTGTGCAAACGCGAATTTCGAGCATGCGGTACGTTGTAACTCCTGTGTATGCCGTTATATTTTTCCAGGTGCTTGGAGAGCTATTGTGTACGCACCGCGTATGACAAAGGCAATTTTGCAAACACGCGCCTCCCGGATACCTTGTCATGCAGGACCACAAGATTGGTCCGGGCCCTGACCTCGGGGTTAACCGTAGAGGCAACATACATGGTGGCGACGGCGACGGCGGCTGATCTGCAGGCGTCAGCGATAAACGGCCGTCAGCACGGCGAGCGAAGTGAAGGTAAGAGCCAAGCCCTCAACGCGTTGACAGGCGTCGGGTGCCACTTAATGAGCCCGATAGGGTCGTTCCGCATCCGGCATGTGGCGTCTCCTTCCTTCCCCTCCTCCTCCTCCCCTCCAGATCGTCCGGAAAATGCTACTAAACGACTCCGGATGCCACATAAATGAGCGATGACATACATATACCTCGGTGCAAGCTTCTCAGTTTTTTTTTGAGGGCCCCTTGGCTCTAATGCTCCCAGTGAATCCATTATATGGAATGCTGATTTTTGTACCCCTCACCGTTATCGTTGTAGCGCCACCAAAAAACATCCCGGTTTTATGAAAAGTAGCTTAAAATGACGGTACGATCCCGGGCGAGATTTGAGAGTGTCAAAAAGCTGGACGAACTGGGAATTGAACCCAGCACCTCTCGCAAACTGATTACGTAATCAGGAATTACGTAATATGCTAAGCGAGCGTGATAACCAACTACACCATCCGCCCCTGACAATGCACTCAAAATAAAGGTCCTAGGATCAAAACCAATGAAATGCGAGCAGAAACGGCGGCGGGATAGTTTTTTCGGTGCGTATCTGAGCCTTTTCGATAAGAGAGCTACTCGTGTTGGGAAAAAATTACCGGACGAAACGCTAACTCTTACATATTTATGGGGCGTGGCTTCGAAAAATACGAGCTTTTATCTGGAGGGATTTGAGCGCGTTGACGTTGCCGCCGCCGTCGCGTACGAGCGCGCGTCTCGCGGACGTTACGCCACAAAATCCTTTCCACGTGTGCATTGTGCACGAACGCCACTCACCACCAAATACTCACTTTCATTGGCTCTACATATCGCTACATTGGCCCTATTTTCCTTACCACTGGGCGCCTCTTTCAACATGGCGACGATAGATCCTCGACGGCACGATACACTGATGTACATGAACATCGCAGCAGCGCAGGTTGCCCCGGAGAAGAGTGCCGAGGTGCTCGACAACCGCACTTGCCTTCGACTTCACAATCTCTAATCATTTCTTCCAGGAGTTTCGCATCGACGACTATATAAAAGCGTACTCTACAACGGGTCGACCACCAGCGCCTTGCCCACCTTTGCCATCCGGAGAACGCGAACGGATAGCACTCGGGTTGCCACCGCTTTTCCGTCCAACCCCGGTGAAAGCGACAGATGAGGACTCGAACACGGCGGCCAATGGACCCGCTGACGGCTCGTCGCTACCAGCGACGCAGTTGTACCATACACTAGCAAGTAATCCCGGTGGAGACGTGTGGCACACGATAACGGTGCAGTCGGAGTACAGCAACTATTCTCATGAGGTGCGTTTTCGTGTTTTGTTTCATGCTGCCGTCGTATTCATGTCTCTCGCAAGGAACTACGTCACTATGCGTACAAGAACGGTCACAAGTTCCCGCCAACACCTATCGCTCCTCATCTAATGCACCCCTTCACCGTGCCCTCTACGTCAAGTCTACACCAGTCGCGGCCCACCCCACCACCACCCATAACGACTAACTTGAATCTAAGTCACACTTCAAACAGCGATTCCCCTGCAGCAGCTTTCAACCGCATAAATGGCCCGTCCGGCACACCCGAACATCTCCTTACTATATCCTCGAGCCCACGGTACTCAAAACACAGTCTAGAGGTACGTCTGCCATGCCATCGTCATCTGCTCAAGGGTGTTGATGCGAATGATTTTTTAGGAACTAAGAGTGTCGTATCTGGCGCTCGGTCGGGAACTGACCTCTGCGGAGATCATGCAGATAGCACAGGGCGGGCCACTGCCCACGAGCTCGTCTTCAATATCGGGATCGGGAAGTGGTGTACCACTTGCGCCCTCGGGCTCGAATGCTTCTTCTATATTCTCGCATTCTGGGGGTGGAGGGGCCTCGCGGAACACTGTGAGGCCCTTCTAACGGGTTCACCGGAGGACTTCGCTGCACTCTTGTCCACCGTCTCGTCAAGCGCATCGTTCCTATCTCGTCTTACTCTTCTCTCCGCCGCTACACGTCTCCATCGCATCACATCCAACACTTCCACGCTCAATGTATTTCCTCTCGCTTTCTAAGTACGTTGTTTTCGAACGCTTCTGCCATACTAACGCTACTCTCCGTTTTCTACTATTATCTATTCAATTGCAATATGTATGTTGACTTTTACACATTCCTGCTATCCATTGTGGGAAGCCTTTTCGTCGCACGCCCAGTTAGAGTGGCCGGGTAATATTACAGTACTGGTGCGATATCTTGCCTACTTTCCTCGAACTTTTCTTCCTTGCATTGACTGATTACGACTACAGATTAGATAGAGATAGACCACAAGCCAAGAAGGATCACAACGGTCACGTCAGGCCCCCGTATGTAGATGCGTTTGATCGTTTGATCCAACCCGTACTCAACGCACCATCCATTCAATCAATTCCACACTGCCACACCGCCATATTATTAATGCGACCCCTGCTCATCAGTAGTCTCCAATGCATTGCATGTATGAGCAGCACGCTGATCAACGAGCACAAGTCGGCTCGATCATATGTTGCCGTGTGTAATTTGATCGTAGGCCTTTATAACCCTCGGTCTGCTGCCCATGGAAAATCCAGCTGTGCTCACTCCCTCCCCATCACCCTACACATTCACTGACTGGTAAGCTCACGCATCGTCTTGTCTCGCCGTCCCTATCGCCCTCTGATCGTACCGCGTGCAGACTTTCGAGTCCCCTCACATTCATTACACGCTGCATATTACTCACATCATGCGCTTTACTACGATATTCGCCGCCGTGCTCTGCGCTTTCGCATCCACCACCTTCGCCCTACCCACCAGCGTCCCTGCTAATGGTGTATCATCTGTCGTACGCCCGGCGAACTTGACCCACGTCGTGATCGAGCGAGAAACCGCGTTCGGCCAGCCCATCCAAGCGTACGTCATCCCTGACCGCCCATTTCTGCCACTATGCGTGCTAATCGGTGCATTGACAGTAAACGCGACTGCGGGATCGTGTGCCAGACGCTCGGGAAGCTGTTCCCCAACATCCACAAGTATGTGCATGGCCTCTTCTATCTGAGGTGACTGGAACTGAATAACGTTTACTCGAAGGAAACGCGATTGCGGATTTGTGTGCACGGAGCTTGGAAAGCTGTTCCCTAACATTGCGCACGAGTAGGTCCATTTTTGTCACTCTATCCTTTCTCGAGGCTGAGGTTGCTTGCGACAGCCGTAAACGCGAGGTTGCAAACGAAAAGCGCGAGTGCGGCTGGTTCTGCCAGGAACTCGGCAAACTATTCCCCAATGTTGCTCACAAGTGTGTTTCATTCATTGCTCTGAAACGGACTGCAGGATGCTGACAGAACCGTGAATACTTAGGCGTGCCCCTGCTCCAGTAGTTCCGTTCGAAGGGGTGCCCGAAGTGATCGCACCCGGCGAATCAGTCAACAGGTCTTCCGTCTCTCTTTCTGCATAGTCGGTAGAAACTGACCACTCAATTGTTGACACAGGAAACGCGACTGTGGCGTTGTGTGCCAGTTCTTGCAGGACCATTTCGGCAATGTTATCCACTAGGTTGAGTGCGATTGGCACGTACGATGGATGCTCGGACCATATTTTGGGACTCGCTCAGGCTCAGAATGATTCATGTTGTACTCACGTACCCTGCCTACTACAACGTTAATGATCATAGGGTATTTTTGGGAACAGATGTGCAATCAATAATTGCGTGAATCGATCATGCAAGACGCAGCATATGTATGCAGGCGAAGCAATACATTGAACGAGTCCACACATGCCTTTGATGCACGTCCGTGAATAAATCGCTATGAAGCTATGCCTCTTCCTCATCCTCGTCCTCGTCAGCTTCGTCTTCGGAAACATCTAGGCCAGCCCCCCGAAGGCGCTCCTTATCTCGTCTGCGCTTGCTGCTGACCTCGTCCAGCAGGACCAGCAGATCTTCCTGCTCCTTTTCAACCTCAACCCGCTTCTCCTCCGAAGCACGTAGCTCTTCCGACAACTTTGCCACTTGACTGTGTGCTGCCGTGAGCTATCAAATTGATGGTCAGTTCAAATAGCCATGCAAGTAGAAGACAGCACGCTGACCTCATCGCTGCTGGATGAAGAGGCCTGTTTTAGCTTGGTCTGTAGAGTCTCAATCTCTTGAGCCTGGTTGCGTATAACATCTCGTAATGAGGCGATCAGCATGGCGCTTTCGGCACTTTGTCCTGATATGGGGGAAGTCTAAGATAACGAATCTCACGCAAGCAAAAAAAGCACACCTGCAGTGGATGACAGAGCATTGGGATCAGCGGCAAAACCGCGCTGTACCGTGTCTAGAGCAATTGTCGGTTGTTGAGCGAGAAAAGAGGAGGCCGCAGGCCAGAGGCTTACAGTAGTTGGACTTCCAGAAGTCTACGAAGGCCCAATCAAACCAGATCTCGCCCTCGCTCTCGGTCACGGGTTTAAGCCCTGGGTGCAGATTTGTTGCAGAGGGATATGGTAGGACAATGGAGTCGGGGCCGATGGCTTTGAAGCGCTCATCCTCCCTAAGGCGCACCATCCGACCGACCAGGTTGTCGACACCCAGCCTATTGAGGATCGGGTGTATTGTGGATCGTGTAATCTCGCCTGGATCCCTGTTATACTCGTAGCATATTCCTAGAAGGAATGCACACAGTCCGGGAACCACAACGTCGACTTCCGACGTCTGATTTGCAGGCTCAACAAGCTGGAATGAACACAGGCGAATATGAGTGACATGCAGAGCACGGAACGACGGATCTTACGCACGACACCTAGGCCACCGGCCTCAAGAAACTCCCGTACCGCCTTGGGATCTTCCCAAAGCCACTGTGATAGAAAGCAGAGGTACGCGACCACAACACGGTTCCACTCGCGTGCTTCCCGTTCCGATGTATCTGACCGCGCGCGTGACAGGAAAGACAGGGACAGATTTTCGCTCAATATCTGCAATAGGGTCTGTGGCTCGTCCTCCTCCTCGACGGGCAAAGGCTCTACCGGTGGCGGGGGCGCGCCATCTGCTGGAACAAAAAATGCGCCCGGTTCGGTGCTTGGTTCAGCGGATACCGATGGAGGGGTGATGGAGCGTGCGAGGGCTTTTGCTTGGGGGGATCCCCGGAGAAGGTGAGCGAAGAGTAGTGTGGCAAAATGTGTGGACGTCACGGCGGCGATATCCAACGGTGAGCTAGGCGGCACAATGAGCGCGTGTAATAGGGGAGTAATAGGTGGAGGATCGTCTGTGGTTTGTGGTCAGATGATTATAGATATCGAAGGCCAAGACCTACTTGAGCCTTCAGGTGGAAGCATTGCCTGAACGATGGCTTGTCGTATCTCCTCTCTGCGGGAGAAGTTCTAGTAGGCGTTAGCAGATGTGAGGCTAGGCGAAATAACAGCTACCTCGAATACGGCAACAGCAACTCCGCGCAGCTCCAAGCCGTCCTGTTGTCGCTTTCCGTTATCCAGTCCATTGTATTCGCCGTGTA